ACACCAAATATCCCCTGGTTCCTTATGTTTCCCATGCACATGAAACACTGCATGATCAGCATATATTTGATTGTTAAAACCACAATGAATCCAAGCCAACCCAAAATAGATTTCTGGTTCACTCCAACCGCATATGAAATGTTCCTCGACGAACCAAGTTACACAACAAAATCCATTGTTTCCTTTTCTTAAAAAGAGATTTTCCCTATTCTGTTGCACTACATAAAATGTGTGACAGCTCAGCAAATAAGATGCTGCGCTTGTGTATGAATGTAAGCGTTGCAATAATAATAATAGCCTTTAGCACTTACACTACTTACAAGTATTCATTATCGGGCTATTATCTGTGAAAACATAGTGAGAGTACATGGGGTGTAATTGGAAGAGCTGGTAAACATACATGTGTGGGTGTCTCATTGTCTGCTTCCTGGTAGAGTTCTCCAGAGCATGTGGGAGCTCCTCCTGCGGATGATCCTGGACACGGTCACTGAAAACAGGGGTGTCCAGGTGGAGTTTTACAACCGCTTTCAGTACACAGTAGAGGTCAGTGATTACTGCATCGCACAATAATCCTTTTAGTCTGTGTGCCCACTGAAAAGAATGGTCTCTTTAAAAAGACATGTGTCTAATATGTTAAGATTATCATTGCCACTTGCATTCTTTAATTATCTCGGTATGCTCTTTGGCGTGCAATCATTAGCATATATCAGATATTCATGAAGACACGAGGTAATAGTTCAGTGCCAAAGTGAGCTCCCTTATGAATGACAATGTGGGAACTGTTGTATATTCTAATTCCAATTTAACCAGCTGGAAGAGGACGTGACATATTTGCATGAAAAGTCATGGCATGAATTTGGAGGCTGGCAGACAGATGCAATGTTTGCCAGAGGTTTCATGCTGTTTGTGTGAACAACACGTCTATCAAAAATAGAGGGATAAATGTTATGAGTCCCAGCTCCCGAGTTTAATGCTTTTGTTCAATCGCTTTAGACTCTGTTGCAGTTCTTTCATGCTAGGGGAGAGGGTCTATTCCTGGAAGACATGAAGAGCGGAGACTACAAGGTAGGAACTCGTCCAATCTGTCAACCAGGAGCCGGCTGTATAAATAATGTACATCTTTTCCCAAACGTATCCTGATTTTTATAAACAAAAAAGTGCATGAAAAATGTTGTGCACACTGCACATGATATGATAAAGTTGAGATTTTAAAAAGTGCAACAAAACAGACAATTTTCACAAAACTTGCGTTTAATATTACACTTATTTTGACAGGCGGTCCTTCTGTTTTACTAATGGTTCATGTTTGTCTTCCAGTCTTAAATCTGCCGTGATCTTTTACCCTGAACTTACAGAGTTGATGGCTTCAGTTACTTTTACTTTTACATTTTTGGCATTTTTCTTCTGTTCATGATTCCATAAACAAGGAAATTTTCTACAGTGCTTAACCAAATTATAAGACCACCACCCAATGCCAGGTTTATTTATATATGCCACAGCTGCCCTAAATTGTCATTGTTGGTAATTGCCAAATAATAATAATAATATTTTTATGTTTCTGTTATGGTTAATTCACCAGTATGTGCAAGGTCTTTAATTCAAATAATATTTTTAATGCTAAAATGTTGCATAAAACTGCAGCATTTCAGTTTTACATAAGGAAAAAACAGTAAGATACATTATTTATTTTAAAAAAAAATGTCATTAAAATGTCATTGATTAATTTCTAACTTTCCAGAGAAGTTTAGTATGGGTATAAAAATCTAAATTCAGCTTGTTATTTGGCTAATAAGTGATATAGTTTTTAGTTTTAAATTTTTTGAAAGATTTCTAAAATATTTGTTTTTATGACAGATGCTCTGCTAAATTGTTAAACTCTACAAGTTCCACTTTCTGTAAAGTCCAAAGATTTATTAAAGAAGCACATTTCTGCATTTTTTCCATTACACACACTTTTAGTGGTGAACATCTACTAGTACATCTACTAGTCTGGCTCCTGGTATCTTGATAAGTGGGTTTAAGGTCAGATTTATGTTGCGTTATCCATCATGCTATTGATCGCTTTGTGACAATCTCGATGCTGTTTTAGGTCTTGGATGAGGAGCTGAAGCTGAATAAATGTTCATCCTTTGAGCTGATTGAACAGTACTATCTAGAGAAGATTTCCCACCAGGTGCGTTTCAACCTACAAGACTGACAATCTCATTTTGTTCTCCTTTGAAGTGAAGAAAGAAGTATTGATTGGACAGCAGAGTGCTCTTTCTTCTGTTGTTATACCTCTGATTAAAAATCTGCCTTCTCGTCGGCCCTTTGAAGACACGACACAACCCGCGAAATGAGGATGGATGCATGCTGAATATTTCTGTCAATACTTAATGTTGCAGAAAACTCTCAAACATACACGTTACGGTCGGATCAGCGTGAAGTGCTATTATGATGCTCCAGAGCAGCGCCTGACAGTGGAGATCCTGCATGCTGCCGATATCATTGCGCTGGATGCCAATGGTAAATATGTGAATTTATGAATTTAAATTTTTGTCTTAAATTAAATATTAAAGTTGAACGCACTACTTCCTCAGGTCTGAGTGATCCCTTCGTCATAGTGGAGCTATGTCCTCACCACCTCTTTCCTATGGCCAAGAGTCAACGCACGCAAGTGAAGCTTAAGACGCTGCACCCAGTGTTCGATGAGCTCTTTTACTTGTGAGTACTCTGCCCTTTTGTTAGGTCTCCCTGTTTACATGCGCACACCCTGTGGCTGATTTGTTTGATTCCATTGTCTTCCAGCCACGTCAGTCCTGAACAGTACAGGCACAGGTTTGCCTGTTTGACCTTTACTGTGATGGACTACGATTGGCTGTCCACCAACGATTTTGCTGGAGAAGCCGTCGCTCCTCTCAGCGACTTCTGCTGGCCGGGGAGACCGAACGCCTCAGCGGCTGGCAAGAGCGTCCAGCCTGTCATTCTGCATCTGTCTCGCAGTAAACCCAGCGGTACATACGGCTCCAGGCTGTATCATTTATTTTGTTTTGGGGTTTTTTTTGGGTGGGGGGGGTTATGCCGTCGTTTTGTTTACTCAAACATAATATTTGCTTCTTGAAGACCAGGGGGTGTAAGTCTGGGTTTCCAATTACTTCTTCAATGCAGCATGAAAAGCCATTCAATCAAGAGATATTTGTGTCAGGTGTAGAAACTGTGCTCATCTGTTTTCTCTCGCCTCCAGAGAAGCCAATCATGGGGATGCTGGAAGCTCGCGTCGGGGACCGGGAGGCTCAGGAGTTTGTCCGTAGGCTGAAAGAAATTGAGAAGTCAATGGAGGAAGAGTAAAGGATGACAGCGCTGCCTGTGTTGGTGTTTTCTGACCACGTCTTGCGACATGTGCTTTTGTACTGGTACAATGTTTACACTATTGAAATGATTTTTTCCCCTCCCTGATGTATTGTTTGTTGAGTAATTATACCAAAATGAAAAGAAAAGGAAGACAGTGAAGCATATTTCTGTTTTCTTACTGAATGAACGTCCTGTCACTGTGCAACTCGATGCTGTCTCAGTTAAACTATATTTTAGAATTCAGTGGATAGCTGATCCTAAATGTTACTAGTCTATATTTTTTGTAATGAGGTAATCGTTATCTTTGTTGTATACTCTTTGATATGATAGATTTAACATTTTAGAACTATTTTGTGGAAGTAGCTTACACATCCAACAGTATTTAGTCAAAGTCTATACCTCAGATATGCTCATTAGTTGAAGGGAAGTTTGACATTCTTCATGACTTTGTGGAGATAAATTGTGGGAAGGACTATTAAGAAAGTAAAACCCTGAACCCGCATTTAGTTTCCATTTCATAAGTTAAATTTTAAATAGAAATTTGTAGTAGAACTCATGAAAACATAATGCACAGCTTTGGGAAACTGCACCAGTCATTCACTCAGCAGCAGCAGGAGGAGCAGCAGAAAGGCTTAACGTTCCCCTGAGTCACATGCCACAGCTCGGGTTCATTCAACTTTTCAGATTGTTCCTCACAAAGATTGTGATGGGTCAGTGAAGAGACCAAAGACAGTGCTACCTTAGTGCTGGAAAGATCTATCCTTTGAACTCCTTCTTCCTTGGACAAACTTTCAGATAATGAGGGCATCATATGTGCAGCTAATCCCTAACATTCAATTTCAGACAGTTTTTTCTGCTTTTCTATCTGACATGATGTCATTGAGAGGGATATCTATAATATGGTCATCTCAGCATAGAAGCTTTCCCCATCTGATGTACAAAGCTTTTGTTTCCGAGAGGCAGCCAATCAGTAGACAGTTGGCAAAGTGAGAGGAGCTTAAAGAGCTTGTTCATCCAGAGATACTCTAGTAGAGTCCAAGAATAAAGATGCGGTTATGAAAGAGTATAAGAGGTTCCTGCTAAACAGACAGTTGGTTCATTTAGACAGCAGATATCCCAAGGAGGAAATAACTCCTAATAACATTTGTACTCCCGAAGTTCAGCGTTATTAAGAAGTCTGGTTTACGGTAGGGGGTGTTGTTACATTAATGCGTCACACACATGTCGACTTATTAGTCACTTATTATTAGGATCTGATATCCGAGGCAGCGTGGTTGGGAGATGGAGAGTAGAGCTTATGAAAACAGCAACACTGAACTCGCTGCACATTCAAAATTCTAATGTAGGAGCGAGCTATTGAAAAGCACAGTCAGGAGAGCAATGGTAAAAAGTGGTGTCCCTCTCTGTTACCTTAGTAATGCTTTTATCCACATCTTCTCAAGTGTGGAAAATCATGCAATCAAGCCCACTCACTACCAAAAGACTTCCACGGGGGCCACGGGGAATTGCAGAGTGGAATTGCAAAGAACAGTCGAAAGAGAGAGGCAGGACCCCTTTTTAAAGTTTTCGTTATTAAACATGATAAATTAGTTGTTGTTGTTTTTTCAACTGAGTACATGTGAAATCCTTAATAACTATTACTCTTTGCTACTCTGCTAGCATTTTAATGGTTATCTAGATCAAGCTGATGGGTGGGGGAATATATCCCCTGACATCCTCAAAAAGTAATACACTTTGTGGCACAGTGTGTGGCCCTAAGCCCTGATGAAAGAGGTTAAAAAATATTCATTAGGTGAAACAGTAGTGTTCAGAAAACCATCAAACATCAAAAGATCTCCATTGATCACATTTGAACTCCTACTCATCGTAGTCCTTTTGCGAGGAAAAGAAATGAACATTATGTCGTGTTCTGAAGTTTAATCTCTTGAGGTCAAAAGGAAATAAGGTTAATGAACCTGCGCAGTGGCTTAATCATACTTAAGGGGTAAAGCAAGCCCTCCTTACCAGCAGCTGCTCTCATGTGGCTGACAGAAATAACACTAGCCAGTCTCTCAAAGCTGTGCCAGTAACGGAGAGGTTAGGATGTTAAGGTGAGGGTTAAACCACACCCAGAAATCCAGCCACTATTTATCTTGTTAACCACATGGGATTGTTGTTATATTTTTATGCAACTTTAAGATTAACAAACCATTTTATTTAAAATATATATATATATATAATAATGGAGTATTCTCAATTTCACACTCATTTAATTCTAAAGGGCTCGTTTCCTAGGAAGGTTGAAATAAAAAATTATCCAATTATGCTTTTAAAAAGAGGCTTTTTTTAGTAAACCTCATATTTACTTTTAAAGGTGAGGTTGCGGATTAATGAGCTTAAGCTTAATCAGTCTTTAGTGTTAGAGGTCTGGTGACATTGAGAATAATATCAACAACTCAAGCCATCTTTCAGCAAACAAATTTTTAAAAAAGGAGCAAAACATTGAAAACGAGCGGAGTACTTTGCAAAGAAATCAGCCGCCCCTCATTTGTTTGACTTTTGCTAGGAAAATGAGAAATACATGCAGACATTTGTTGAAGCATGTCTTATCACACCTGGAAATACAACATATTTTAAAAGTCAGTACTTGCTATGACCACCTTTATTCTTCGACACAAGCCAAATTCTCTTAGGCAGCTTTCTTGTTTTTTCTTTAAGTTGTCTGCTGGAATAGTTCTCCAGGTTTCTTGAAAATGTTAAGGTCTGACTCAACACTAATTCCACACCTTGAGATATGAACCTTTTTTTTATGCTTGCATGAGTCAATTTATAGGTTCATAGGTCAGTATTAAGTGGCTTAACAAACAAGCAGTCAATGTCAAAAGAAAAAAATCAGAAAGAGCATCAGAAAGGCTGGAGAACTATTGCTCAAGACCACTTGAGTCTCCAAGGAAGGAAAATAAAAACAAATGAGGGGTGGCTCAAGAGTTCTGCCGAGTACTGTACCTTTAATTATTTTCATTGACAACCAGAACTTTTAAATTGGAGGTTTAATGCTATATTTTTCTAGGAAATTGCCCCCTAATATCGAAAAATGTAGCTCAAGTTTTACAGTTGTAATGCACTAGAAACTCTGAACAGTCATCTGCTGTTGTAACAAGCTACTTTCAGCTGCTCCCTTGGTACAAGGGGTCACCACAGCGGGTAGTTCTGCGTGTTTGATCTGGCAGAGTGCTTCATGTCAGTTGCCCTTCCTGACGTGACCCCAAAGGAGATTTGAGACCTATGTTAAAAGCATTTAAAAAACAGGAATACATTCGGGGTATTGGAAAGTATTAAAATCGCAGTTCTAATTACGAATGGAACCTTTTTTAGACGAGATAGCGGGATCACAGAGTAGTAACAGAGGTGTAGTGAAGAAACACTGAAAAAACACTGTAGCAAGTACTTAGCACCAAAATCTTCACACCGACAGCATTTTGATAGTGATGTAACTTTACAGTAGCTGCTTGTGTAGTGCTTTGTCGTTAACCTGTGGAGTCGTGAGGATGAAGCACCCAAAAAACCATATCTATGCCTGGAGAGTGTGCTGCATTTACAGGCATTATTAAAGCGTTCGATAAGCCTGCCTTACAAACAGGAGCTGGGAATGCTTTCAGTCCATCTGAATAGCACTTGCCTTTACATTTAGTTCTTAGGATATTTCAGGTAGAATAGTGTTGGCGTTGTTGCAGAAAAAAGAAAAAATCACCCAGCATCTCCACTGTTAAGTCTGCAGGTTTTCATAGGCGTGATAAAAGGATGTAACTGTGATATTTGAGTGAGTACCAGTGTTGCGATTATATTTTCTCCGTATTATTTTACAACCAGTTCTTCTGGCCAGATGTTTACAAAGAAAAATGCAACCTCATTTTGAGCCTAAGCAACTATTTTAAAGTCAAATAAATGTTATATGATAAATCTTATATTGTAGGATCAACATGCAGGAGTAAGTTGCATATTTATAGTCAAATTAAAACTAACACTGATGATTTTAAATTTAAAAAAAAGAAGCAAAAACCTTTTTTTTTTTTTTTTCCAGAATGTAGTTGAAGAACGCAACTATATTTTCCAGTTATTAAAGATTTGTCTATACTCAGTCACAGTTTTGTAAATTTCCTAACGTTGCCCTTAGACAGGCAGATCCGGTCAGTATTATTATGGATTTGTTCTGCTGATTATTCAGAAGCAAATGAAACATTTTGGTCGTTAAATGTTCAGTTAAGTCAAAGTGTTAACATAGTGTTTGGTTCATTGAAAACGATGTAAAATGTTTAGTTCTGAATATACAGGAAGTGTGGCAAAGGAAATCAGACTGTGAATCAACACACCGTCATTATGACCTAGTGTCATGGCTTAGCCAATAGGTTATTTAAACTATTATGTGATATGTTGCTGAGTTGAGTACTTTCTTTGGTCGTTTCGATTCAAAGGCACTGCTGGTGAAAAGTATCTGCAAGAGGCAAAACTCTTTCAATTTGTTATTGTGAAAGTGAATTATTTGTCCTTGAATTGTAAATGCCTGTGTTGCTGTTTATTGGATTATACCTTTGGGAAATGTCTACAAACCCAATAAAGATTGTATTTAACTTTAAACTCAGTGCCGTCACTTAGATAGCATTTGCTGCATCTGTGTCAGTGTGGAGGCATGCTGTAGGCTCACACCTATTTGTTTACTCCGTCGTCCCGACCATCAGCCCTCCTACCCCACCCCCACCCCAAGTTTTGTGTCCCTGGTTTTCGGATGACCTTTAATATTTTACATCCCCTTGGCAGCAGTTACATGAAGATCAAATGCACCTTGTAATGCAGCAGCAGCCCTGCAGAAAAATCGCATACGACCACAGAAATCTTATTCCACAGCCAGTGAAACATACCTCGACACAATCGCCTTGGTGTTCGCATTTCTCAAGGAGCTGCTGTGATAGTAGATTAGACAAGAATTTCTCGCAGCTGGAGGACATGAATGTCTGCGAGTGCTTGTGCTCTACTGAACACTAGTCGATACGTTCTAAATTAGAAGCCTGGTGATGACTGAAGGGTATTGAATTGCATGCTGGCTCAGGTGTGGAGAGGAACTTGCCATCTAATGCAGACATTATGCCCTCTAGTCAGTGCCAGCGCTCACTACATCTGTCGGTGCATATGACAGCTCTCTGGTCTTTTAATGTCTCCGTGCACCTGTGAGCCGACGTACAGATTATTAACGCTCTCGCTGGTTGACTGTCATCTATTCTGGATTCTAAAATACAAGCTATATTCAGTGTTTGCGCGATAACATGTATTTGTGTGAGAGAGGTGCTCAGTAGACAGAAATGGTCCCAAGGATTTCCAGTTCTAACCACTAGATGTAGTCGTAACTTTACAAATCCTCACTCAGCCTTATAGGGGTCGCCCTAGGCCTGATGTCACTTGATTGTTTACATTATTTTGTGATAGGAGCACAGAATAAGAAGTCCTTTTAAGGTTCTTCCTCTATCAAAAGGACTCAATGTCTGATTATAGACAGCCTTCAGCTGGTGACGCTGGGTGTTGGGGCATGGTGTTTTCAGACATACAGACATAAGCGCCTGCTGCTGTGACTAGTGATTTGATTCAGTCAAAACATAAAAAGCGAGTGTAATTAATTGTGGGAAAATGCACGTTATTATTTGTTATCGTCGTGTTTGTGTGACAAATCTTAAATAAATCTTAATGGACCAAAGAGAGAGACACAAATGAGAGAAATAATGTTGCTCTTTGAGCTTTAGTTGTGTAGAAGTACATGAGTAAAAGTACTTACGATGTAACAAATTGCTACAAAAAACCCAGGACATTTTCTAAAATAATCTGCTATACTGCAAGATTGGTGGCCTTTATGGTAAAAGAAAATAAGAGCAAACTACTTTACTTTTTTTAAATACAATATATGTAGACTTTGTTGTGAAAGTGTGATGCAGTTTGCACTGTTTGTGTGACCAAGAGCAGTGTTAAAGTATAGCTGCCAATGTGAATGACATTTGCAATGAATACATTCAGATTTTCGTCCCCTTGCAATGCAAGTAATGGGCAACAGTTGCTAAGTACAGGGGGAGGATGTGCGATTATATTTTACAGTAATAAACTTTGTGGAGATCACATCAATACACTTAATACCAACCAAACAGACAGTATCATAAAGTATAGTCCATATTCATTCATAGAATAGGCCTATAATACCATTTTTGTGATGTGTTTTCCTGCCAGTATTGTTCTTTATCAGGCGCATTTTTTACAGTGTAAGTATTTTCCATCAACAGAGTTTAGTTTTTTATTTTTGGTCAGTAACCTGATTTAAAACAAAGCAATAGAGGCATAAGAAGACAGTTTAGTGTGCTGGAAGCTCCAGTGAGCTCCATCTATCAGGTTTTCTTTAACTTTGTGCCGTGGAGGAGAGAGGTGGGAGCATTTAGCTCGTGTTGATCCCCAGGAATGTTGGCAGAGTCACTGCATTGCTGTAGCTCCTCTGCCGGCTCTGGCAGATACATTTAACGGCGTACTGATCCCACAATCTCTTATCTTCCCTCAAACAACCCTCCAACTCCACACAGTAATGTTACACTGCAGAGGCCGTCTCCTCCCACTGCAGCAGGTCGGCCTGGATCCCCCACACAGACACATTTGTTTTGTTTGTCTGAGATGTAAAATTTCACACCTGCAGATTTCCAGACATGGCACTGTATGGCTTTCTTAGACTGATATCACAGGTTTAGTTTTGTAGCTTGATACATGTGCTGAAGGAGGAGAGGGAGGTTATTAATTTAGCTTAACCAATCTGTCATGTATATCAGCACGCGCTCGCTTGCTTGAGTTATTTTAAAAAATCTTTAAAAACTTCCACTTCAAACAATGAAAGGAATTCACATCTGAATCGCTTCCAGAGAAAGATCCACCTTTGAGGCTTCACGGAAAATGTGAATATAGACACAGCACACTGGCAGGACCTCAGAAGCTTTCCTCAGAATAAAGGAAGGCTCCTCGCAGGCTGAGGACAAAAACACCTGTTGACTGCAGGTGCATCCTTTGGTGTGGCGTCAGCATTATTAGAGAGGAGAGGAGAGTCTGTCTGGACTCTCCTCTCCGGCAAATATGATGTGGGAAGAAGCCAACACAGCAAGTCCTTTGTGGTTTCAGGGGCCTGTGATGGAGTGAGTAGAGATAATATTGGACAGCTTGCCTATGAGGAATGCAAATAGGACAGTGTTTGGGCCAAAGCCAGTGAGCTTTTTAATGAGACCCATCGCAGAATCATCTTCACACAAAGTTGTATCGACTGATCTCTAGAGTGAGAAAGCGAGTCTATTCTTGGTCCATCAATATAGACACGTGGGTTTTGACATATACATTACCTTTAACCCAATGTTCAAGCAATAAGTGCTTGAGGTCTCTCTGAAGTCTACAGTCCCACCAACACTTTTTAAAAGAATTACTGTGGAACTGTATATAGTATTATATTGCTAGCAGGTAGGGCTGTGCGATATGACCAAAATCTCATATCCTGATATAAAACATCTATCGTCCGATAACGATATAAATCACAAAAATTTAACATTTTCTGTAAATTCTGTGAATATAGGGTAGCTGAAGTGTTTCCAGCGTGTACCTGGAGTCGAGTGTTTGAAAACTGCATTGTGCATGAAACTACACATTTTTAGACATAGGTTGTAACGGCCACCGTTTTCTTTGTGAGTATTTATTGCACGGCGTGCTGCGGGGAAAAGTCTGTTCTAACGTTTGAGTCTAAGGTTTATTTTTTAGCACCTGGCGGCTCTTTTTTGCTTCTCATCCATAAACTCTCTGCATACTATTTCACGTGATTCAGTTTATTTTGAAAAGTCT